CCCTTCCTTTCCTTTCCTTTCCTTTCCTTTCCTTTCCTTTCCTTTCCTTTCCTTTCCTTTCCTTTCCTTTCCTTTCCTTTCCTTTCCTTTCCTTTCCTTCCTTTCTTTTTTTTTGGTGACGCTAGGATTTATGGTTTAGATCTAAAATCGCCCCCAAGCCGCCAGTGTCTGGATGGTGATTGGGTTAAGGCAGCGCTATAGCGGCCTTGCTGTTGAGTGAGGTCTCGCGGGAAGGGGCGGGTCCCCGGGAGTGCGACCTGGAGGGTGCATCTTCTCTAGCTGCTTTCCTCTTCCTGTTCCCCCGGAGCTGAGCAGCTCTCCTCTGTCCAACCCCAGGGCCAGGCCACCTTTCCCTTCCGTTTCTGTCTGCACCAGGGCCTATAGTGGCGACCCTCAGCCCCTCTCTCTCACCTCCTCTCTGGGGCCCTTACCAGCCCACTGCCTGGTTCTCCTCTCCGCAGCTGGGTCCAGACAGCGGCTCCCTCAGCCTGCCAGCTGGCCCTGGCTCCCGCCGCGCTCCCACAGTGCTCCTCTCTACGGGCTCCCAGTCTGAGACTGGGCGGGCAAAGCCGGTACCGAGCCAAGCCCAGTTCACTCACACATGCGATCCCCCAGCGAAGGCTGCGCTGGTCACAGGGATGGAGAGCGCTGTGCAAGCAGCGTGGTTTCCTGTCTTCTTTCCTTCCTTCCAGCCTGGAGGACCTTGTGCTCTGGGCTCTCGCTTACAAGGTCTAATGGGCAGTTACCTGTACCTCCCCCATCAGAATGCAGTCCCTGGGTGTCAGACTGCCCTCCCAGCATCAGGCCTTCCCTGCAGCCCTAGAAACATTCAGCTGCCCGGGATAGAAGACATTAAGCAGCTTCCCTGGTAATCACGTGCTGTGGAGGACCACCAGGACGGCTCTCCTTGAGAGAACATTTGTCTCCATTTTGGCTAAACCTGGCCTTGATTCCACGTAATGATAGGTTCAGAGCTGGCTAGGAGATTTCTTTTTCCCCTCAATTGGCTTTGAGCAATGCAAATGGGTCTAGTGGAGGTGCTGCTGTGCAGTCTTTAAAGCAATGTGACAGGACAGTGCTGTGCTGCCTGTAGCTTCTAGCTAGTGTTCTGTGAGCTAAATGCTGTGCTGTTGGCTGAGACCGAGGCTTGAAAAAGAACCCGTGACATCTCAGGGACTGAAGGCCAGACATTCAAGCTGAAGCACTGACCCCAAAGAGCAAGACACTTCCTCGAGCTGCATCATGCAGATTACTCTTTCTGCACACCTCTCTCTCTGCATATTGCAGAGGTGCTACCCGCCTCCTCCCTAGCCCGGCTCACAGTACTCAAGTACTTCCTGCCATTCTCACAGTCACTGCTCCCAATCCACTCCTTTCTTCATGATTTTTTTTTTTTTTTTTGGTTTTTCTCCGGTACCAGGAATTGAACTCACGACCTTGCGCTTGCCAGGCAGGCGCTTTGCCGCTGAGCTAAATCCCCAGCCCTCTTCATGATTTAATAAAGTCCGGGTTCAGCCCTGGGTCGAGGCCTTTGCTCTGGTTAACCATTGTTCTAACTGGATTTAGGATCCTTTAGCTCCCCACCACTATAGATATGTGTTCATCTCTTTGTTCTCGCCGTGGATTGTACTGGAAGTGGTAGATGGGAATTACTTATTGGAATTCCAATAACTTTTCCCTGGGATTACAAATATAAACTCCACCGGGCCACGACAAGGTCAGGATGGGGTTCCTATAGTGTGTGGCCTAGGCTTAAGCTACTCCCTCCAGGACTCACAGGAAGAACATTGCAGAGTGCCTTTCTGTTAATAAATCCAGAGCTGTGTCCATCCTGGGCACTTTTTAAACTCAGTAGAATCAGTGATTGAATAAATGGTCCTGGCTGGGGGGCAGGATCTGAGGAGAGAGAGCGCTCATACCTACCTGTGTTGTAATGCTTGGTGCAGTACCGCAAGTCCTTTTCTTCCTTCAGGATAAACTGAGGCAGGGTGAGTCCGTCTGCCACCTGCACAGCTCCCTGCTCCTGCCACTCAAAGATGAGGTCATTCATGGTGTATCCAACTGGATGGGATCAGAAGAGGCAGCGGTCAGTACCCAGGAGCACGTGTGAGGCGTGTCAGGTGGGTGAGGATAGAGGCTGCGGGAGGCATCAGACAGTGGATGGACCGCCTAAGCCCATGCTGCCCTTTTGGAGTTATTCTCATTGAAGTGGCTACAAGTGGCTTAATTGTTTATGTCTACCCCTGGCCCTCCCTTTCTCTGCCCACCCTTCTGCACCTTGCCTGAGGTCTTCCGTGCCTACGCCTCACCCCTGTGGGAAATGAAGCAGAAGCCTGCTGTTGCTGCCAGCACGCCACCCTTGCCAGCCACCTTTGTTGGAGAACAACTCTGGGGAACATCTCTACCGCGTGCTGTCTTGGTGGGACTCGTGCTGGGAGCAGGGCGAGGCGTGAAGTGGTGACACAAGCTGGGGCAGTCAGACTCTGTCCCCACACTCTGATGCTTAAGAGACATAGGGAAAGGCTCGGAATAGGTCGGAGCTGACTCCCTTGAGAGGCGGTGCTCCAAGGAAAGGTTGGCTAGCTAAATGCTTGGGCCTGTTGCCTACACCTTTAAGTGAGTGAGACTTCTGTGGTAGCCCTGTGAGATCAGCTAATCCATGTGTTCAAATCCTGGTCCTCTCTTCCCCTATCAGAAGGAAGCATTCCTTCGAGGCGGGAACATTTTATATTTCTTTTTTCTTTTTTCTTTTTTTTTGCTTTTTGAGACAGGGTCTTCCTATGCAGTTCAGGCTGCTTTGAGCTCACTTTGTAGCCTAGGCTGGCCTCAAACTCACAACAATCCTCCTGCCTCAGCCTCCCCGGTGCTGGGATTACAGGCATGTGCCACCACGCCCCGCACATTTTATATTTCTGCAGCACGCTTACCACTTGGATTCTTTGTGCAGTCTTTGCCTGCTCCTCTGCTGAGGTGAGCCTCCCCAGGGGCTCAGGGACCTTGGCTTATTCGGACTACCTCTCCCCTATTCCTGGTGAGCGTACCCACAAAGGACGTGGGAGAATGCCTCTTTGGAGAGTGGTGCAGACCGCAAATGTGGGGCCTCAGTCAGACAGCGTGGGCATCACATTTTGAATGAATTTTCTTTTTTTTTTTTTTTTCCCAGTACCAGGAATCGAACTCATGACCTTGTGCTTGCCAGGCAGGCGCTGTGCCGCTGAGCTAACTCCCCAGCCCCTCGAATGAATTTTCTAAAAGCAAAGCCCTCGTCTCGTATTTTGAGCTATCACAATAATTCCTTGGGGTTCGCTGTTAAGGAAATTCTGCTGGTCCCACCCATAAGTGGGAGTTTGGGTCTTCAAAGAGGACTCCTGCAAGGGACTTACAGCTTTCCAGTTGCATGATGCACGTCTGCACATCCATGGGGAAATTCTTCAGATCCATGGGGCAGGCCAGTGTCAGCGTGATCCTGGGGAGACAAGTGCGGAGGATGTTGGATCTGGGGAGCCGAGCCTCCATTCTAGTTATGATCGGAACGCCAGTTGTCCAGGTTAGGGAAAGGAAGCCAGGGAACTAGTGTTTATTGAATAAATAAATGAACATTTCTAAGTTCCTGATGTGGAGATGGAGCCTCAGAGAGGGATAGTACATTCCCTAAAGTTTCAAGAGTCAGTGGAACTTCTGGGTTTGTTGAAGTCTGGCTTCTAGAGACCTGTCTCTTTTGGGTTTCCTGGGGCCGGTGCCTGTCCCCCATCCCCAGCCTTCTGAAGAGTCCTCAGGTGGAGCCAGAGCCCCAGTTCCAGCTGAGCTGCAGCCGGCCTCAGGCACCCCAGGTGCACCTGCAGCAGGTCCTGGGCTCAACGGAGGTCATTTCAAAAAGGCCCCTGCCTGCTGGGCAGCCACATGCAGTGGACTCACATCTGTGGGCTCCTGCTGGAGTGAGGAGTGCAGTGCTGGGCTCCCCAGGATTCTGGGATGACTGTTTATTTTGGTTTGTTCAGGCCTTACAAAGGCGGCAGCCTCAGGGCCAGAGGGAGTTCCTTCAGCAGAATGCAAGGCGTGTAGCTCAGGCTCCTGCTTGAAAGGCTTTGCCCACACCAGCTTTGCCTGCTGCCGGGAATGGAGAAGAAAGGCTCTCCGGTAGTCAGGCCAGCTCCCTCCTCTGACACTGAGCGTGCTGGGGTGCACAGTGGATCGGTCAGGACTTATCTAAGGTCACACAGCAAGCTGCTGGCTCAGCCAGGATTCAGAAGTCTGTCTCCTAGCCTGTGGATTCTGAGTCTCAGCGGCGCTGGCTCTCAAGTTTGCTGGCAAGAGCTGCTGCTCTGCAAGGCCAGCCCCAGGGCCCTAGGGCCCCTCACTGGCGGAAGTTGGCTGCTGGCACCTTGATTGCACAGGGCCCTTGATGAGCCCCCTCCCCCATGCGGCTCTCACCCCCTTAACTTCAAAGGTAGAAGTGTGCCAGGATGCGGGGTGGGGGGAGGAAGAGGAAGAGGGAGGAAAAGAAGAGAGGAAGGAGGGGAAAAGCGAAGGGAAAGTGAACGCGACTGAAGTTTTGAAGATAAAAGCTCCAAAGTGGGGCAGCTGTCATGCTGGGTTAATTTCCTGATGCTGAATGACCTTGGGAACATCACTTTCTGCTGACTTGTCCTTCTGTCGTGGTGCACTGGGACTTCGCTTCGTGCAGATGGGAAACTAGCCAGGTAGCAGCGAAATCCAAGCAGAGTCCCCCCACCCCACCAGGGCCTCGGTGACTGATTCCCAAGCCCATGACTCTTGCGTGAGAGAGGAGGATGGCCCTGGGTTGAGGAGGCCCTGGAGCGCTGCTTCCCCCAGCCTGAGTGTTGGTGGGGAGGTGACTAAGTGCCCTCCTCCCCAGCCTGCTCTGTGGAGTTCAGCCACACCTGAGGGTTAGGGTCGGCACAGCCTTTCCCTCAGATCTGGATATTTAAGGCTCTTCTCCTGATGGAAATAAGATTTATTTCCCCGAGGAACCAAATGGGCCAGGGCGTTTGTCTAGGACCGGTGCTACTTTAAGCTTTTTGAACTGAAAACAGTTATTCATTCATCAAATATTTGCATACCTCTTGAATGCTGTGCCCTGTCCCAGGCCTTGAGAGGCCATCGGATCTACATGAATGCAGATTAGTTCTAGGTTCTGAACTATTTGGCAAGTTACTTACATTTTCAGATAGATCTTCACTTGTCTAATCTGCCAAATGAACACAATAAAACTTACTTCCTGGGGTTAGAAGTATGAGATATAATCTATGCAATGTACCAGCAGAGCCAGTAAATTCTCAGTGAATGGGTGCTGATACAACTACTGCATGTGTACGGCCACTTCACCTCTTGGACACCAGTCACTGACTCTGCGCTTTGAGGAGTTAGCACCTAGGTGGGGAGGGGTGGCCGGAGCCTGAAAGCTTGGGCCCTCACCAGAGTCTGCAGGATATCCCACAGCTGGGAAAGGGGTCCGGCCTCTGGACACAGTGCGAGGTAGGTGGGATAGAAAGAGTTCGTAGAAGGGACCGGGTGGCCCTGGTTTACAGCAGTGAGTAGGACCATCCAGCCAGCAGACCCATTTACTTTGAAGGTGCTGTGATTGGTACCTTTGTGACGATTTGTGTGTGCTTTGTGCCTTCGCTCCTGCTAGTGGTCGTCATGTTTGACTACCTTGAGATGCTGGGTAACTCTAGCTCCTCTCTCTAGGCTGCCTTCCCTGGTTGCCTTGGTTACAATGAACCTCACTGCTGGAACTCCTAGTGGGGTTTTATTCTTACTTTCTGAGTGTAAGCTACAGAGCCGGGTCTCCTATTCCAGCACTGAGCCGCAGGCTGTCCGTATTTATTTGGTCTGTCCCTGAGTGTCCACTTCCCGAGGGCAGTGGGGCATGGCGTGTTCTGAGGAGGGAGCAGAGGGCACCGTGTGGGCTCACCTGATGCTGTAGAGGACGTTGCCATTCCTGGAGATCCGCAGCAGCTTGTTGTCCGTGGTGATCTCATGGAAGTGGGCTCCCTTCTCGTTGGCGAAGAACAGGTCAGGTTTCCAGATGGAGTCCAGCATGGACGGGTCCAGGTCCAGAGAGTCATCGGGGTACTCATTATAGGCCAGCCGGGGGTCGTTCCACTGCTGCCGCAGGAAGATGTTGACTCTGTAGTCCTGGGGACAGGGCACAAGGAGGTGGAGGCGGGGTTAGGCGCTGCATGCCAGGTCCCAGAGGCACTGTGAGGAAATGCTCCCCATTTCCCTCCTGGAGGGGATTCCTGGGGTGTGTTGCATCTTATTTGGGGATGAGATGTAAAGTCTGTACATCAGGCAGAAACACAGGAAGCCTAATCACCCCCAAACACCCCAGAAATGCCTAAGGATATTCAAATCTGAACTGAGGTTGTTTAAATGTTGCCCTTTCTTCTGAAAAAGGTACAAAAGTTCAAAGACTAATACAGTATACATCTATTTTCATCATCTTGTAAACACCTGTTTTCACCACCCTGCTAATACTCTCGTGCTTGCTTCATGTTTTTCAGACAAGAGAATGAATGTGTTATGGATAAAGTAGAAGCTCCATTTTACCATTGGCCCCAATGGTACAGTTATTCTTATGCACGCTAAAGTTGGAGAGTTATGGATCTAGATGGGTTGGAGGAATAAAAGGAGAAACTAAAAGTTGATGTCTGAGCATTCAAACCATTCTGCTTAAAGATGACAGTTTCCAAGCAGTGAAGGAAGAGATGCAGAAGAATTCTAGAGTATTGCTGCTGGTCCTGGAGTTCAGACTGCTGTGCTGTAATACTGGCTGTGGGGGATGAACTAATGGTCAACTTGTAACCCCCAGCTGAACTGAATCAGTGTGGTGCTGGGTGTGGAAGGCCCACCTGAGGACTGTTGCCAGCAGCATAAAAGGAGAACTGGAGGGAAAGATAGCGTGCTGTTGATTCTCCTGGAGAAGCTTGTCACGCTGGTTTTCCTGATATGAACTCAGCTGTTCTCACTGTGGAAGGAGCTCAGATACTCGATGTTGCTGAGGATGGCTGCGGTTCTCTTTGAGGGAGCCCTGGTTCTTACCTTGAGCATTGCTTCCTGGCTCCAGTGCAGATCCCTCAGCCTGCTGGCACAGATCCTTCATCCCACTGGCACAGACTTTCTAGCTTCCACCACTGACCTTTGGGCTTTCCCAGTGCAGATCCTTGATACAGACTTGCATGAGGCATTGTCATGGGCTCTAGGCCTCCAGATGGACTTATGGAGAACACTGCTGTAGGAACCAGGCCCCCAGCTGGATGTTTTGGGTCTCTAGTACATGGACAGATCTCCCACACTCTTTTGCATTTGACTCTTTAGTTGAATATTACAATGTAATCCTGTAAAATATGTGTCCTGTGTTAAATCTTTTCCCTTGTAAACCCCAACTACAACACCTGCCTTCTAGAACTTTCTATGATGTGTTGATTTGTTTGGGAAAGTTTAGTAGATATCGTAGAGCTGCACCGGGTCGGCAACTACAATGCAAGGCAGTGCCAAATTCCTCTGATGGCATGGCCTTGCAGTTGTTCTACTGGAAAAAGATTTGCATAGGTCAAAGCAAGTTGGGAAATATTGGCCTAGACGACGACATGCAGCCACTTTCTTTATGGCAGGACTTCTCAGAGACTTTAGGTGCTAGTGAGTTGTGTGTCTGCCTCCAAGAAGGAAGAGCAGGCGGGACAGTGCTCTGGGGCACGTTGGCCATGGAGCTCTTTCTCTGCACATGATGGCGCACCTTCTGTTGACCACAGGTTGGGGACTGCTGTCTCTGTCAAAACTCCACCCCTCCTTTTTCTGTTTCCAAGTGAAGAAACTGAAGTTGGAGAGAATCAAGACCAACCCAGGGTTACACTGACACTACAGGGACCGAGCTCACTCTAGTTCCAAGTGTCCTGACCCCTCCTGAGGGCTTGTTCAAGCACCCCTGTGGATCCCAGGGGAACTGAGCGAGTCTGTTTAATTCCCATTCACAACTGGAGATGGGATGGTATGTTTAGGTCTCAATGGTAGGAAGCTGGGTAATGCAGTTAAGAAATATTTCATTCAACCTGCAATGTGGGGAAAAATGTTTGCCAGCTGTTCCTCAGACAAAGGATTAAAATTGAGAACATATAAAGAATTGAAAAAAATTAAGCCCCCCAAATTGAGAGACCCAATCCAAAAATGGGCATCTGAGATAACTACACACTTCTCAGATGAAGAAACACAAATGGCAACTAAATATGTGAAAAAATGTTCAATATCACTGGTCATCGAGAGATGCAAATGAAAACAACACTGAGATTCCATCTCACTCCAGGAAGAATGGCTATCATAAAGAAACCAACCAATAACAAATGCTGGGGGCGCTGGGAGAAAAAGGAGCCCTACCGCACTGTTGGTGGGAGTGCAGACTGGTGCAAGCACTGTGGAAATCAGTGTGGAAACGCCTCAAAAAACTAGGGTTGGAGGTGTCATTTGACCCAGCTATTCCCTGCTGGGTGTCTTCCCCGAAGAATTAAAAGCATCATAAATGAAGTAAATAAGATCCAAAATGTACAATAGGTAGTGTGAAATGGGAAGAAACTGTTCAAAGGGAAAGAGAAACTGGGATAGGGGAAAGGAGAAAAGAATGAAGGGAAAAACAAAATAAAAAAGTATATATATATATGATAGTTAAATAGTTATACTACTAATTTCTCTTCATTGAAAAGATAGGTTTGTGCTAATATTGTTTGGACAATTAGATGTCTATATCTTGTACTCTGAGTAATTTAAACCTAACAATATGCAATGTATTAAGCATTATTACTCTCCTATTATCATTTTGAATTTTTTTTCTCTTTAAAATAAAATAAAAAAGAAATATTTCATCAAGAATACCTAGCTGTGGTGGTAGATACCTGTGGTCCCAGTACTCTGTGAGGCTGAGGCAGGAGGATCACAAGTTTGAGCCCAGCCTGGGCAACGTAGTGACTTAGCAAGACCTTGTCTCAAAATAAAAAATAACAAACATGCTGTTGATGTAGCTCAGTACAAAGGCACTGTGTTCAATCCCCAGTAGCAATACCTCCCCACACACATGAAAGAAAAGAAAGAAAGGGGAAGAAAAGATGAGAAAAGAAAGAGCAATCTGCTTTGTTAAGAAAATCTGTGACCATGAACATTGTGGCTGTACAAAAGAATTTGGGATATACAAGAGAATTTGGGGTGTATTTGTGTTTCCCAAAGAAGAAGGGCCTAGCTTTTCTGTTGGACTCCCCAAAGGGCCTATAATTCTCCCAAAGATTAATAACCTTGTTTAAGTCTAACTTTAAATGGTTTCATTCAAGAAATAACCTCCACACATGAAGGCATCCTATTGCTCTTTCCCTAAGGGTGCTGTATAAATGTGGTCATGCTGTTTTCTTTTGGGGTGATGCTTCTAAATCCTCATGGGTCTTCTTTATCCGTCATCAGCAGGGGTGAACTGAGATGAACAATCTCTCTACTCTTACCCTCACCCCTGCCTAATTCCTCCCACGACATGTATCTCATTTGTTTGCCTACAGAAATATCAATAGCTTCATAAAATGTTCCAAGGTATTTTATAGGATTTTTCTATAATTTAATTGAAGCCTCTCCCTCCAGCCCCATAGAAAGTGACATTCGGGGTCATAATCCATGCCTTATAAGTCCCGGGGTGGAGGGAGCACCCGAGGCCGGGTCTGGATGTTGTTTTTCTTCAAGACAGCTTGAAACCTGGCCCATCTGATTAGGGGCTTGGAAACAGCCTTTCATCTTGCTCGGAGTTTCACGTGGAGTGTGTGTGTGTGTGTGTGTGTGCGTGTTCTGGGGCGAGGCACTGGCAAAGTCACATTAGAGTGAACAGACTATGAATGGTTGGGCAGAAAATGCTTTTAGTCCCCAACTTCCGCTGTCCTTTTTTTTTTTTTTAATTAAAAAAACAAACAAAACAACAATAAAGACAAAATCAAAACAACACAAAAACAACAGAAACGATACATGACCTCAGAAAAAAATGATAGGAATTAACAAGGTTGCTACGTTACACCCCGCTGTACTTTTGATGTTCTTGCTGGTGGCGTGTCAAGGCTGTGTACATAGCCGAAAGGCAGAAAGGGACATGGCATTTCTTAAAACGGTCTGTTAGGCACCGGGCGCCTTTCTAGACACTGTCACTGTCACATACATCTAATCCTCAGGAAACCCCTGCAGGCAAAGCTTCAGATCCCCGCGGAGGGCGGTAAGGAAAGGGGTTTGGGAACATTAAAAACCAGGGCCCATGAAAGGCCAAGCTGGGATCAAGACGAGCCCTGGTCAAGCCCTCTAGCGAGCACTTATCTCTATGTTGCTGTGTATGGAATCGATTCTGGGCCGGGTACACTGTCCCTTGTCCTCATTGCTTTGGCAAATTCTGCCTGTTCAGCTTAACCCTTCTCTCCTGCAGGAGCATCAGGGCCCCCAGAGGCCCCCAGACTTTCTTCCTTTTCTACTCTCTGAGCAAGAGGGGATCCTCACATCATTTTACAGAGCACTTCCTCACTGTGTCGGTCTTATCTCCCGAACTCGGTTGGCAGCAAGTTCAAGGGATGAACCAGACCTTGTGTTTCTTCTGCACTATTCCATCTACCAAACCGGTCGGTTCAGAAGGAGAAGGAGGAGGCAATGCCAGAAAAAGCAGGAGCAGATGAACCTTCCTCATTTGATGCTTGGAGAGACTGAGACCCGTAGGAGAAAAACATCTTTTTTTGTTTTTTTTTGTTTTTGGAGAGAGGGTCTTTCTATGCAGTTCAGGTTGACCTTGAACTCACAACGTAGCCCAGGCTAGCCTCAAACTCATGGTGATCCTCCTGCCTCAGCCTCTGAGTGCTGGGATGATGGGCATGTTCCATTGCACTTGGTGAGAAAAACATTTTCTAAGGGTCACATAGCAATTCAGTAAAGGACTTGGCCTAAACCTAGCTCTGCTTCTCCGGGACTTACTGTTAGAAAAGGCTAGGATATATGCTAAGAACCGTTCTAAAGGCAACAGCTGAATGGAGTTAGTGTTTTTTTTTTCCAGCAGCATTTAACTTGGGGCCTGGGAAGTGGCAGGCAGTGTTCTAAGTACCTGGGAGTCTGCTGAAAATGAGGAAGCTGCATCTTTTCCATCACAGAGGCTGGAGTGTGCTGATTGTACCACGCAGAGGTGAAGGCTGTGGTAGGGGCTTTGAACAGTGTCCCGGGGGTATGGAAAACAGCTGCTCCGCACTTGGACACACGGTGGAGATCAGGGAGTCTCCAGGCACCGGTGCTATGATTAAGGAGACCAGCTGTGGCCGAACCATGTGAAGTCTGGGGGCAAAGCGAGAGTGTGGTGCTCTGGAGGCTGGAAGGTAACTGTCTGAGAGGAGTGGGAGGGCTGTCAGGGCTTCTGAAGCTGTAGTTGGACTGTATCGTGACTGCACCTTGAAGACTTTGAATAGTTTTAAGTAAGGATGGATATTATTACATTTGCATTTAACTACTGATATTTTAAAATCTTTTATTTTTTCTTATCACAGAATTAGCGCATGCTGATTGTAAAGAAAACACAAATGTACATCATCCACAAGAAGAAAATAACTAGTGCCACTGGGCGTGGTGGCACACGCCTGTAATCCCAGCACTTGGGAGGCTGAGGCAGGAGGATCGCTGAAAGTTCGAGGCCAGCCTGGGCTACAAAGTGAGCTCAACTCAGGGCAGCCTGAACTGCATAGCGAGACCTTGTCTCAAAAAGACAAAACCAACAGAACCAAAACAGACAAAACAAAAAAAAACAACTATTGCAAAGTGAGAGCAAGAACCTGGAAGTGTAGCTCAGTGTCTCAGGTGGCTCC